CAGTATAGACACTGAGATCTTTCTTTAATAATTCAAGAATTTTGCTAGTCATTGAAATGTTCGGAATTATGAACCATTTCGACTGCCTAGCAATGGAAGTGTTGTTTCAATTGGTCTCCACTTTAATTTTTTTTTCCATTTCTTGATCTCTATTTTAAGAGAATAAGTAGAAACTCCACAGAATGGTTCTGGTCCTATGAATTGCTGAGATGATCCTAGCCTGGCTAACGTATCGGCTTTTTCATTCCCTTCAATTCCACAGTGGCCAGGAATCCAATATAAGTTTACTTGGCCAATTTCTGAAGTGACATTGACATTCCCATACGAGTTTGAAATTGCATGTTGCTGATTTTAAAGCATTTAATACTGCTTGACTATCAGACATAATGCAGATATTCGAATGTTTTTAATTCCTGCGCAAGCATATTACAGAGCATTCAAGAATTGCTTGAATTTCTGCTTGGAACATGGTTGGCCAGTAACCCATGGATATTGAGATATCAATCCCTGGACCAGTTACCCCTGCTCCCACACGGTTGTTCAATCTTGAACCGTCTGTATAAAAAACAGTTGAACCTGGACGGATGTTTGGTCCTCCACTTTCCTAAACATTACGATCAAATTCTGCTGCATTGTATAAACGATCGAAATTATATTTTTTCTCCATCCAGTCTTCATTTTTTTAATATAAGAGAATCAATATCAAACATTTTTAAAATGCTAAGGTGTCCTGTAAGATCACCTTCAAGGAAGTACTTTGTTCGTTGAATCCTTAAAGTGCTCCTTTCAGCTTCTAAGTGGATAAATTGATGCAACGGAATCAGATAAAGTAGAGCATCTAGTGAAATACTCGGTGTGATGTTCATTGCACCAGTTATTGAGAGAGAAGCTAGTCTTTGCAGTCTCCCCAGCTTCTTCTGAGCCTATTTTTCATTAGTTTTCGGCCACCAAACTAATGATGCGTAGGATATTCTGGGTCTTACAATCGTCAAATAAATCCAGTGGATCATTTTTGGTTTTAGGTCCCATTTCCTACCAAATGATTTTTTATCCAAAGAGCATTTATTGCACGACCTGCTCTAAATGTGAATTTCAGTTAAGTTTACCGTCAAGAATGACTCCCAGATGCTTGACTGTTCGTGAAAGTTCTAAAGAGGTTTCTTTCAATTTTAAGTTATTTATAGAAAATTTCTTTTTCCGTGTGAACGGTACAATAGTGGTCTTAGAAGGGTTTATATTCAACCCTTCTTTAGCGCACCACGACGAAACATAATTTAAGACAGTTTGCATTCTATTTGAAATGATATTATCAAATTTTCCTCTTACTATTATGACTATGTCATCAGCAAAGCCAATTATCTCGAAGCCCTTTGCTTCTAAATTTTTGAGAAGTTCGGCAACAATTAAAGACCATAAAAGAGGTGAAAGCACACCTCCTTGAGGACACCCTTTTACAGCTCTTACTGTTATGGATGAGCTTCCAAGATTTGCTGAGATTTCTTTTTTAGAAAGCATCTCATTTATCCACTTAACGATGCTTTTGTCGAATCCACGCTTCAACATATTGTTTTTCATGGAGTTATAAGATGCATTATCAAATGCTCCTTCAATATCAATGAATGCTGCTAGTGAAACTTCTTTTGATTCAAAAGATTTTTCTAGTTTTGTAACAAGCGTGTGAAGAGCTGTTACTGTTGATTTACCAGCTTGATATTTACTCAAAGTTGACCATATTAAAAACCATTAATTTCTGACAGCACACTAATGACATCTGGCTCCGTGTTCGTGGAAAATATTTAGGTCAGCCATGAACCCGCCTGCAAAAGTTATGAATTGGTTCGTGTCTGATCTATTTGGACAAATTATTTTTATCTAAATCAAAAAATCCTATGGTTTTGACAGTTCGGATCAATGCACATTCAGGCATAAGTCAGAATTAAGTGTCATGTCGGTTTGTCGGTGGTAGTACGGCTGATACATGGTACAGCGCCTCTCCCGGAGAGCGTGATCAAAGCGTTTGGTACACAAGGTGCAGGACATGGAGAACTATGAAAAATAAGCTTATACATTGTGCAGCGTTAGTCTAGGAGACAGTTAAGAAAGTGGCAAATGCTTTACATCGTGCATATCTTGAAAACTGTGATAATCGACGCATACATGTATGACATTGGTCCTGAAGATCATAACGGAACAAAGAAGTAGAGTAGGTCTCAAAGATCATTGACACAGGGTTGGTTGGGCAGTTGACACGACATGAAGATTTTCGAAACTGTAAGATAATCTTCACGCTAACTTGAAAGTACTCATTAATGAGTAAAAAAAGACCCATTTTGAAGAAAAGTGGCTTAACTCATTAATGATTAAACAATTTTACGCATTAATGAGTATCTGTTACCCATTAATGATTAACAATTACTCATTAATGGGTTACAGATACTCATTAATCGGTAAAAAATTTACTCATTTAATGAGTTAAGCCACTTTTCTTCAAAATGGGTCTTTTTCAACCATTAATGGGTACTTTCAAGTTAGCGTGTTTAACAGTATTTCTGAAGCCATCATTTTATGCTACTGCGGTTTTGAACCTACACGGTTAGAAAAAAGTACCCAACGGAATGGGAACCCAACGTTAAGTATAATCATATTTACCTACTGTTGGGTACAACTAACTTACTTTTGGTTAAAAATCCAGTGGAAAATTCCATACGAACTGCACATAAGTAAATGAAAATTACTTTGACCCGCTTTACCTACTTTTGGGTTCCTGCACTATACTGCCGAGATGAGTGAAAAGAACTTAATTTTGGGTACTTTTTTCTAACCGTGTAAGCAAGTGCGTCAAAAAGCTGCCTGAATGCTAAGAGCTCTCTGCTCAAAAATTCGTTTGTTTGGCAATTACGATCACCCATACTGCTTATCCAAAAGTGCAGTACATTAGAATTCTGGGATTTATTGTGGATAAACGGCTCAGTTTCAAATGGCACTCATCAACTATAGCGAATTCGTTTATTATCGGGGTTGGAACCAGTTCCAACGCAGTGCGAAACCGAACTTTTGGTCAGTACGAACCTCAACCTGAGGTAGGTTTTAAAAACAAACGATCAAACTGACGATTGTCAGAAAACAGGCAGACCCAATCTTGATACCCGATCCAGGTTGGAACTGAATAATAATCGAATTTGTTATTAGCGAGACGTTCACCGGTTTGAATTTTGTTAAATCTATTGACGGTTTGCACCTTTTACTTCAGAAATTAGTTTACGAGATGAGCATCGTGAACAGAACCAGAGAGGTGTTAATAAGGAATATTATCCCAGATTCAGAAGAAACATCATACACCGTTAGATCATTCAAGGGTTGATAATTTAATATTGATGTTGTAAAAATACCTGGCTCTTACGTACTGCTTATGTTTGAGTGATGAAAAATATTTGATATAATATATATATTTCATCTTTGGATTGGATTTATTACATCCTCTACATATGATTCATTCAACAAAAGTAATGGCGTTTCTTGTAATGGACTGCAGCGTACAACAAAGTTTACCAGAATGCTTAAAGTCTGTTCCTGTTAGTATTTGGCCGCTTCTTTTTAATTAGTGTAGCGCCCCTAGTTCTCGTAGCAAGAAACTATTGACAGCGTACTGAACCGGAAGGATTGTTTATTTAGTAGTGAAAATTTCATCAGGATTCATATACTTGTTCAAAAGTTATCGAAAGATGGAACGTGACAGACATGAAACCATTCTGCACACTCACATTTTGATGGACGATGAAACGTATGTAAAAATGGACTTTGGACAAATCCCGGGCCAACAATTTTACTTTGCTAAACGTAAATGGGATGCTTCGGATAAATTCAAATTTGTCTTTGCAGATAAATTCGCTCGCAAGTTGATGATTTGGCAAGGCATCTGCAGTTGCGGAAAGAAAACAAAGGTTTTCATCACTGGAGCGACTATGAATGGACAACTTTACAAGGAGGAGTGTCTCCAGAACATAATTTTGCCGTTCATTCAATCACACGAAGGTGCCGTAAAGTTCTGACCTGACTTAGCTAGCTGCCATTACAGCCGCAATGTCACAGACTTGTATAAGAAGAATAATGTCGATTTTATTGTGAAAAGTATCAATCCACCAAATTGAACAGATTTTCGACCCATTGAAAAATTTTGGGCAATTATCAAGCGCAAATTGAAGAAATGTGGCAAAACAATCAAAACACCATCTGATTTGGAGAAGTGGTGGAAAAGGATGTCAGATGAATTTGACAGTACTACAAGACATAATGAGAGGTATTCCGCAAAAAGTTCGAAAAGCTGACGAATTATGTTGTGTTGTATTTTTCCCTTAAAGCTAAATAAAAATCCTACAAAATTATACCTTTAGCGTTTTTGTACTTTTTCCCCCATGGAGAAATGACCTTTTTTGTGTGGCCAAATTCTAAACGGAACAGACTTTATTTTTTGCAAAAAACCTTCCCGAGATGATTTTCTTAACGCTATGCATTTGTGTAAAGAATCTTTGTTAAAAATAAGCAAAATTATTTGAAAAACCTTCTGGCAAGCACATTACAGAATAAATTCATGTCGTGAATCATGTCAAATTCTGCATACTTAGTAACGTTTCCCGTTGAATATCATTTCCAAATCGTGATCGAGGTATACGTAGCCAATTGCGTGAATTGAGGCAAAAGAGAGGGGAAATTTTCGTGGCATTCGTCACAGAGGTGGAAAACCTCAATCTATGCTTAAAATGCACATTCGCCACGTAATATTTTTGAGATAGTGTTGTAAAAGCATGCAAATCTGTAATAGAATCTTACATTTCCCGGTTGGGTGTAAGTTTGAAAGATGAATACTAAACTTAGCTTTTCAATTGTCGATGGTTTAATTTCATCAAGATTTTTTTTTTTTGCAACACGATCGACTGACTTTTCATTTCCTGAACACTCTTTAAGGACTGATTTCGAAGCATTTACCAATTAACACCACCCGCTTAAAAGTTTCTAGATTTCGATTTTATTTCAAAAAACATTTCCCCAACAAAAACGGTGTCATAATAATCGCTGTACAAACGGAACCATGATAAAAACAATCGTCCATAGGTTTTGTGTATGTGAGTGTGTGTGTTTTTCTTCTTTTCTGATTTTCTTCTTCTTCTCCTTCATTTAGTTTACTTAATTTAGTTGTGTAACACATCAGTTTGATTTTTTTTTTGATATCTCTCTTTTCCGCCTTTCCAGTTATTCAAGTTGTTGTTTTCATGTTTCAATCAACCTTAATATTCTATCACGATTTATTCTGTTTGCACGTGATTGGTTTATTCACTCGAATTTTCTTCTTAAATGATTGGCGATCACTCATACGGTCCATGCCGTTCGCAGTTTCACTCACTCGTTTACATTCACTGGGATTTACTGCAATTTGATTCTCTCTGTATTGGCTGTGACAAGTGGCGCGTCAATTTGGGTTCACTTAGTATTTCTTCTTTTTTTTTAGGGAGGTTAGGAGATTTCGCAGTGCGAGTAAAAAAGAATGACATGATTCTAGGAATTGATTTAGTTTTGTCCTGTCAACAATCGATTCCCTTGCCTTTGAAACGATTTTGAATTGATTTTCTTATTAGCGGTTGTCTCCTTCTTGAAATGCGCAAGATGATTAGGTAGATTTGTGTTTATTGTTGAAGGATTGCACTATTTACGATTCGCTTAAGGTAAAACTATTGTTGGTTTGATTTTACAATGTATGTGTTCGTGTGTTACGTGTCAGTGTGATTTCTTGTATTAGTTTAATTGTTTTCTTTTTATTTTATTTGTTTAATTGTTTAGCATTCGATTGAAATATTATCCTTCAGTTCAATGAACAAATAACAGAGAGTTTTGGCTTTATTTGTTTACTTCTTATTCATCAGTTCATTTTTCCTTACTTGGATTCTGACCGCACTGAACACTGGCAGAATCCTTCGTATTTGATTAGATTTAGTTTATAATTTGATTACCTAGCACTTTAAATTTTACATTTCATAACAAAAACTAAACTATGTACACCATTTTCTTACAATTACGACCTAGAATTCGTATCATTGATGACTGTTTTTTTTTTTAGGTTGGATTATCCACATGCGACGTTGTGGTCGTTTTGTGAGGGTGGAAGGCGCTTTTCCACGCTTAATAGGGAGGAGGGTGGATTGTGGAGTGGAAGTTGGAAACTGGGAGACGCTTTACAAGCCAGAATTATCGTGCACCATACCGACACCACCGCCACCACCGGGACCGGGACCCATTACGCTACCGGGTGGTGCTCCAGGCCCGGCAACGAGCTGTCGTTGTTTTAGCAGCGTGGACGTGTCGTGCTGACTGTTGGCCACGATCTGCCGAATGGTGGGTGCGTACGGTGGTCGTCATAGGCGCAATTCTGGCGGCTCCTTACATCAAACCTGCGTGTGCGAGTTGGCATGGATCGGATCGGGCTCGGAGTGCGTCGACGGCGTGTAGTACTAGAACGGATACTGAAGATTAATATTAATGCTCCACGAAGTCAGAGAGTCGGTTCAAGTTAACTTACCCCAATTCGACCGTTGTCGTAGTCCCGCGTGGTGGGTGGCATCGTTAGTCGATTTTTCGAGTTGGAATTGGAGTTCATCGTATCGGACAGCGGGATGCGGTTGGACGCCCTGTTGGAACTTTTCATGCAAAACTCCACCAGGGCGACAGCCAATGCCACCAATAGGCCGCCTATGAGGATGTAGAATATTCCGGCTACGTTACTTAGGGAGAGTTCGTTTCTGGAGGCATCCTGTTTGTCGCTGTGCTTGCATTCTGTTCGATCGTACCACCATTTGTTAACCAGCTTGGTGAGTTCACCGTTTTCCTTTAGCGACAGCACTGCCAGATTGACGGGGTCTCTGGAAGAGGAAATGATCGGTTAAAATGATTTCAATCCGTTACTTTATTGAATGTTGAGTAAGAGTAATGCCACGGATACACTTGTATGACAAACTATGAACATGAGCATTAATTGTACAATAAATTATGAACACATCCATGGTCACACTTGTATTGTTTTTGTATAGATGTTGTTTGTATAGTGCTGATAATTATTATACAAATAAAGCTCATGCTCATACTTTGTGATCCAATTGTATCCGCGGCATAAAGGTCATCTGGCATTATTGGTGGATAGGATAAACTCTGATGAGTTTTAGCGATAGTTCCAAATAAGAAGCATTTCTCATCTCGTAGTTCTATTGTTTTGAATGGTACGTATAAATACGTTAGGTATAAAGACGATGGACATATTTCGAAAAAATAGAATACAAAATTATTAAAAAAAAAACCTCTCGAAGACCCGTTACATAATCTTTTCATGCGTTGAAACATTCCAAATTCTGTACACTTCTGTAATCTTACATTTCCCGATGGCTGTACATGATTTAATCGAGGATGCTGGTAAAATATTCAGTTGTAGTTTGATAAAATCATCAAGTTGCTGCGTTATTTACACCTAAAGGTAGTATGAGCTGTTTTTTTTGTTAACATAGCAGCCTTATATCATCTGAAATTCATGAGACGGGGTTTATCTGCTCATATACTGTGTTACCCACAGCCAGTGATGCCAACATTCCAGTTAAAACCAGATTCTTCCAGTTTTTCTTGGACGCATCCAGTTTTATCCAGTTTTTCATTATTAATCGTAAAATATTTTTAAATATGATTACCATTGCTTATGCTTTTAACTTTTATATAGGAAGTTATATCTGGAAATGAAATATTTATTAACAGTCATAAAACAATGCCTAGAAAATGCGTGGCGATGCTGTGATCAAGCTCGCTTCACAACATCGCATCATGTTGATCTCCAATTTGATTTGAAAAAGGTGACACGTTGTCACTTTAAGCCTGTACATTGCAATCGGACAGGAATCGAACTCAGAATATGTGTTTTAGAATAGCTGATCTTCGGGAAATTTTCTGGTTTTTTTTTCAGAAATGGCTATTTAACCACATATAACCATAATAGATCATTTTAAATTGTTGGTACTAAAAACATGCAACATCTTGAACAGGCAACATGGGTTGCAGATGGTACGTTTGCCACAGTTACTTGTTTGTTTTCGCAACTCGTCACTGTTCATGTTCTGCTAGTTTTCATTCTGATGACAACAAAAATAGAAACGTTGAATCGAAAAGTATGGCAGGAAATCTTGGAAGCAGCAGGTATGTTTTTTGTTATTGAATGAAAAATCACAGAATTCACCATTCTTTATTTCATGATCTGTTTTTTGAGGAAACCCTTTTCTTCTTTGACAATTGCAATATGTGTTGAAGAATATGGTACAACAAATGTGTGATTTTTTTTTATTTCTAGATGCGATTGTTTTCAAGATATAGTTCAAAACTATGTTGAGTTTTCATTGCCAGATTACTTAACCGCTATCGCTACTAATCTTGAATCTGAGTAAATAAGTAGCTACGTCACTTATGATATGATTCCAAACTGTGCTTATTAAATAAACTATGTTTGTATTCAACGCCTAATTAGCCTAATTTAAGCATTGTTTACCATGCTCCAAGCAGGTTTCTAGAGTTGCACAGCAGCAAGGTATTTTATGCCTAACGTCAATTATGTCTAACGTCCGTATGCCTAACGTCCCCCAAGCAGCACACTTCCATCGAAATAAGTTGCTGCAACTTGATTGTGACTGGAATGGGTTGCACACAAGCAATCACAATTGTTCAGTGACATATTGGCAATATGGTTGAAAATTTTAAAACTGCAACACTTCAGAACTGACGAATTATAAATGTGCTAATTAGTTGGCCATTTTCAAGCAGTCCGTCAATTTCCGGCAAGCGTTTCCAATAATTTGATATTACGTACACGCAAAATTTCAGCTCAATTGATCATAACAAATGTATGAAAATCGGCCTATTGTGCTAATTTAAAGGCCACCACTGTATATGTGGAAAAGAATAATCGGCTCCGTAAAGCTCCTACGAAATAGTCTTTTAAACTAAACTGATTAAAATTAAATGTTAATAATCTAGGTAGACTTAAAACCCTCGTACACTCACAAAGCCACATTACGGACGTGATCGGGATTATACAGTTGGTGGTCATTCCGTAGATGTGCTCCTTTCACGAATCGATGTACGAATAATAAAATTACTATGGGTCATTCCGCGTCAAGGGACCGACAAAAAATACAAAAGTGAAAGTGACCTCTTCCGATTTGGACCAAATTTGGAGGAGATGTCCCAAAAATAAAACAAAATAGTGCAAATGCCTTAATTCCCGTTAAACATATTACTAACGAATCAACTCTTGGATCTTCAGTACTTGTTTTAAAAATATAAAATTTGAAAAACATTTATTGCTGTAAAAATATTTAGAATATACTTTTAAAAACTATCAATACTACCCCATTTTACGGTACTTTCTTTTATCAATATCTTCTGAATAAATAAACCTACAATTAACATGATAGAGTGTGTTGACGTACACTACGTCTTACGGGAAGGTACTGGGGGTAAAATCGAAAATCTAAAATTGCGACCGTCACGAAAAGGTGTAAGGTTTTGAACGCTTATAACTTTGTCATTTATAAATGAAATTAAAATCCAAAAACACCAATTGATAGGAAATAACTCTCACAATATGCTTCAATAAATGCTTGCCGTATTTTACAAATAAAAAAAATGTTGAAAAGTGCACAAATAAAAAGTGATATTCAAAGTGTTTTTATGTTACTTCATACGCAAAGTAGGCGTTTTCAGAGTTGGTTGGAAATGCTAACATGAAGCTTTAGTGTAACAACTCAAGGCGGTAGTAGCCGTCAACAATGCTGATGGTACAGCACGCAACAACCACCCTACTGCTATCTCTCTGAGATGACCACGTTGGTCATGACGAGAGGAGCAACACAATAGTTGGGTAAAGAAGAATAGCATTATAACACACCATCGACTGGAAATGCTCTCGCAAACGTGGGGCTTTAGATAGTGATGAAACGTCGCTAGGACTATTCCACAGCCACAGTCAGTTATGAGCAGAAGGAGGACGCACATCTTTTGCCTGTAGACTTGAAGACATACTTCAAGTCTCCGCGTACATCGTACGGGTTAGGCAAAAGATGTGCGTCTAACTTCAAAAACTGTCGCATTAATGGCCCTTCGCTCATATTCAACTTCTATTCAATTTTCATACTGCCGTACTCTAACCGAACTATCCACCTACCCTCTTCTAAAGATCATTCTCTAGCTAATAAATTATCACACTAAAGCTTCATATTAGCATTTCCAACCAACTCTAAAAAGTGATAATGTATCACTGTTTAAATGAAATAAACGTTCTCCCAAAACCAAGTTGTCATAATCGAGTATCTTTTGGTTGCACATCGTTTTGCTTGAACCTGTAAAATTATATAAGAGCTCTGCAGGAGCAAATTGGGAAAAGGTGGAATTTTTCCCGCTGCCTCTACTGAACATAACCGCAGTCGGGCTAGAGCGCTGCTGTTGTGAATCCGCTCATTTTCGCATCGGACGGACGGTGTGCTAAAATAGCAGCAGTCACCTTGATGACAACCAACGATGGGGTGAAGAGGATGTGGAATTTGTGTAGATCGAACAATTGGTCCTTTTCAGGACTACACATATTTTACAGATAGAGTTATTGAGACTGTTTGACTGTGACAAACGTTATTTTTTTTATAAAACAAACCCCCCCCCCCCTCTTCATGTAACGACAATCTAAAAAGAATTGACGATAATTCTTGCACCCGCGAAAAGAGCCAAAAATTCCAGCTGAGAGAAAATTTGCATGTCATCCCAAGTAAGATTGCAGGTTTTATCGCGGTTTTATAGCATTCTATAAGTAGAAATCATGATCTACAGAAGCCTTATAAAACCAAAATTGTTACTTGGGATGTATACTGTACCTCTCACAGCTACAAAATAGTGTAAAACATGTCTGGTACCTCTTTATATGCAATTAGATTAATATCTGAAGTCCATCTTTTTACATATTCTGCACAAAAGATACTTTCTGTTACGCCCCATTAATAAAAAAAAAAAAAAACGGCGGGAAATCCTATCATGGGCGAGGCTAAGACAGTATTATTTGTGCAGAATACGTATACAAGGAGGGACTTCGGATGTTGTATACAAATTACATATGCATTACTGTAAGAACTGTCAAAATCCTATGAATTTACACGCTAGTGTTCGTGAGATTCTGCTTGGCGAACTGAATTCTGATGATTTTGGGCCGTCTCTGTGTTGAAGTGGGATTCAGAGGGACGGTAAAATTCATTTACCTCTTTAAAATTCATGCACCAAATGGATTGGCGCGTTTCTGGGTGGTGCTGTGTATAGTTCGGTCCAACAAAAATTAAACCTATGAGAATGGGTAGGAGCGTCTTTGTGTAAATGCTAGAATGGCAAAACGTTAAGAGATATATGTCTGAATACTTGTAGAAATTATGATTAAAAATTGAACTCACGGTCAAATGTACCAAACTTTCTAATTTTTGTGAAAGCACAACTCTGAATATCAAACTTTCGATCATGCTGATGGAAAGAATGTGAGGAGGCAATCAAGCCTGCTTAGTAATAATCCTACTAATAATGCGCCAAAGCCCTGTATAAGTCGACAATAAACAAAATCTTTCCATTGGGCTTATTGGTTACCTCCCAAGTAACAATTTGGGTATTATGAGGGTACTGTAGACCATGACTTAGACTTGTAGAGTGCTTTAAAACCTCAATAAAACTTGCAATGTTATTTGGACTGGAATGTGCAATACGTGCTTGTGAACGATTTCCCACCGGAGGTATCCCACTGCGATCAAGCGTTTGGTTGAACGTGTTATCCATAACAAATGTTCAACGGAGATGGGATGGGCAT